CCGCGTACCATTAATCTCGCGAGCTAATGTTAATGCGAAAATGTTCAGTCGACGAGTTCCGCTGGGGTTCCCAACGGCCAATCGTCCGCTAATAAATGTTCCCCGGCCTGCGCACTACCGTGCATAGATAAATGCGAGTTATGAGTTACGCTGGTGGTAATAATAATAGTAAAAGTCGCCGTTTCCCGCGGGAATTCGCGAATTACGACGAACGACGCTCGCGCGCGTTCCGCTCGCCCGTAACGGCGATTGTGCTCCCCCCGCCCCCGCAATTTCGTTTACACCTCTTTACCGGATGCGAAGTCGAGAAAGTAGCCGAGACTTCGTCGGCTGACGTCGAATGACTGGAAAGAATATCGTTCACGTTCAGCGCATTAAACCGACCAATCCGCCCATCCTTCGTCGCGCGTAAATGACACTGCACGCCCGTTGCACTCGGAAAGATGTCACCTCCAGCCGTTCGAAGGCAGCCTAGTGAGATAATCTCTCCTGGCTCCGTCCCCGCTGGAACATTGCACGTCTGTAATAACTAACGATATGTTTACTCCGACGTAAACACCTCCCGCGAAGCTATTCAAGCGACCTATCTGGCTAACATCTAAGACCCGTCATCGTCGCCGGCGATCCCGTCCGACGAGATGACTCGACCCCCGCATTTATCCGTCACCGGTCTCGGTTCGTTAGACAATCGAGGGGAGAGAGCGTTAAAAGTCCCCGCGTTCAATCTGCGGTCCTCTAATATGTCGGCGCGTCGGCTTTCTGTTGCCGGTATTTAAGCCTCCGACGGCCAGTGCGCTTTAAAGCACGAATGGACGGGCGGACGGACGTGGTAGACCACGTGAGGGTGAACGAGGCCGGACGTCTCGTTCCCTCTCCTCCGCAGCATCGCTTCGGGGAGGATAAACGACCTCGCGCGAGCGCGCGAGAGATCGAGATTATACCGGCAGCGAAACCCCGACATTTGTACAGCTCCGATTTAACAGCGGAACGCGTCTTTTTTCCCGCCGACCGAGTGCATTGTAATCCCGGATGCTCTTGGTTGTGTATTCCCGGCACGGGAATACACAACCGAGAGAAATATTTTTGGAAGCAAATAACTGAATAAAAACTGAGTGTAATTTCACCTCTCCCCGTGCGTGATAACGGAAAGAAACGGGGACGGATATCTGTTTCGCGTAGAGTCCGGCTTGGAAAATGTCGATCGTCCTTCGAAAGCGAGCCGAATGTCGGCAAAAAGTTTAAGACTAAAATCGCAGCTGGAAAAACTTGGATATCGGTTAAAAGAAACGCATGGAGTAATTTTTATTTTAAAAATGTTAACACGATAGAATAGGACCATAAAGAGTTAAAACAGTTATTATAATGCTATAAATAAAAAACAATACATTTACAACAATATTATACATAATATCAGCCAAATGTTTCAGTCACATTAGATCTTCTTCAATGATAATAAACACAATATTATATAATATAATAACTGTGTTATACAATATTATATAATATAATTACTGTATTTATTATCACCGAAAAGGGTCTAACGTTATCGAAACGTTTGGCTAATATTATGTATAATATTATTGTAAATGTATTGTTTTTTATTTATAGCATTATAATAACTGTTTTAACTCTTTACGATCTTATAATGAGATTCTTTACTTTTCTCAGAGCCTTATTAATTCGTTTTTATTTAAAAATTAGACGCAAGGAAGACAGAGAGAGAGAAAAAGGCGAGTTGAAAATTGGAACGATCTTTTTTACATTCGAACACTTACACAGAGAGTATGATATAAATAATAATATTAAAAAAAAAGAAAAATCTTATAGAATCAGAGGCAGGGCGAACCGCTTCGTTACTGGCTAACGCCGATAAATCCGATATATCGCTCCTCGTTAAAACAAAAATTGCCAACGGCGGCTTTCCATTTTCTGAACAAACAAGTCCGGGTGGGAGATTGGAGCAAAACCACACTGTCCACGTCGGCTCTTCGTGCCCAGCTGTGTGCGGCCGTTGCCGCTGTCGCCATTTGTTCGCGAAAGAAATTCAGGTTACATGTCTGCTCCGCTTCGTGCTCGTGCTACGAAGTCTCCTCTTTAAGCTATCGGGCCGCGCACGTTTCGCGAGCATCGGCCAAAGGATACTACACCTTAAGTACCGTTTCTCACGGTGTGCTATCGGCCTTTTACGAGCACGTATGTATGTACACGCGACGTTACCGGGGTCAACAATAAACGGGGATTTCCACTATTGCGACGCGACGGAGCGCGCGACATGACAGTTCGCGAGAGAACGAAATATATCGTGTTCCCATATTTAAATGCGAATGTCGATTCTATCGCGAGACACGAGGCGACATGACGGAACAAAGTGCTACAGCGGTTTAATCCAACGAGATTATCGCCAGTGTCCCGATAAAGCGCCACGATGCCCACGTAAAATTATAACAGGGCGAGATAATGTCAGTTTCAATTGTTTTTGCATCGATAACGTTGAGGAAAAACAGAATCAATCTGGTGGTTTGCAAGCAATGATAAACTTAACGAATTCTTCGTACTTTCGCAAACAGGCTTAATCTTGAATAAAAATCTACAATTTTTTTTTTCTGTTTTTCTTAAATACATAAATGTTACAATAAGTAAAGAGTGATGAGCGAACTTTCATGGCCTTGTCCCTTTATCGTATCCTTTATTGCAAGAATGATGAGGCCATCGAGCATTTATGTTTCGCGACACAAATCTGCATCCCGATGGATGTTGTATATGGGTCGTTATTGTCCCAGCAGTATCACGTTTCGCCGGGACATTGGTAACGAAAAGGTCAATTGATGACTCTAGTGGCCCAGAAAGGTCAGGCGAGCGCGGTATGGAGCGATATATTCCGTACAAAACGGTACTCCAAATCTGACACGTGCAATATCGATGGCGAGTGCTCAATGGGAAACATTTTCTAGCGAGATCCGCATTGTTATTATTGCTATTATCGTCATTATCGTTATTATCTCTATGACGCAATGACAGGTAGCGCCGACTGTGACGTAAGATAAGCAAACAATCATCACTCTCACGCATCGCTACCAACTTACGCTACGTGTCGTTGAAACACGTGAGAATGATCACGCGGAGAGAAGACGCGAATAAAGAAGCCTCTGTACTTTCCTCCCGTGTGAAACACTGTCGTAGCAAAATCATCAGTTTTTCAGAAGGCTAACTTATAAACGTGTGAGAAAAATATGCATTTAAATCCTCTCGAGGTATTAAGCAAGACATTTAAATAGGTTTTCCCGTTGAATAATCCTACTTTCCTTGTACAATTATTAATTATCTATGCGTAACGATTGTTCTATTTATTGCTCGTTAAATCTCCGAATTCAAAATTTTAGTAACCGTTGCTGAATGTATGAAAGGACACAGTGCTCCAAATAATAACTCATGACAGTTCGATATTCCTTAATCTATAATTAAACTTAGAAACGCGGTACGCCAGTTTCGTGAACCGATAACTTCCTCCTAACGCAGTAACGTCTCCTCAACAGTAATTCAAGATTGCCACCCACGCGTCTGCTACGCATCAGCATTGAAGTATGGCTGAATGCATAATTCCCGGTCGGTCGATAACCAGATAGATATAATCGAACTGTATATTTTCGATTAATTCCGTAAGTTCCGATCGCACCACGTAAGTCGACAAGCAAGTATCTATAAGCTGTATCTAGTACAGCTGCATAAATATTTGCGCGCTTATGCTATTTTTTGCAGTTTGTACATGCGTGGTGTACAACACCTGCAATCACGCGTGACATACATATATACCTTACGTTTTTGTTGAGTATAAGAAATTAATTTGCAATGTTGACCGACGTAGTTCCTGCGAGATGACTCGATAATAACGTCCGTAAGAAATATGTTCGTGTGCGTTTTTAGTCTTTCGAACTTTTGATATTTATTACGCGGTCCAAAGAGCACGCCGGTATGCATAAGCAGATAATGGATTAACAGTAATTCTGAGTCGATGTATCAAATTATTTTTAATTAAAAAATTAATTAAATTCGGCTCAATAATCGGGTTTTTAGGTGTTACGCATTTTAATATTTCATTGTTCAATTTTTCCACTTATGAAGAAATTGTAGTATATTATTGAAATGTAATAATATGTAGGGTGGACGGCGTAGATAATAATTATCGAGATATTCCTGTATATAGTGGCTGAAAATTTCCGCTAATTTGAGTCAATATTAAATAATGTGGAAGCTCCGAGAATACAGACGCGATGACTCATTCCGGATTACATAACGGTGTAAAAATTCAACGTCTGTGCGAGACGACAAACAGTAACGCAAATTCTTAAACTCTTATTTTTAAACTTTCATATATAAAATACGAATTCGCGAGAGAAAGAAAAGAACTCCCGAGAATACAACTCACAATCGCATCAGCGTAAACTACACCCAGAATATCCCGCGAATCATTCAATTTCACAACTTATCCACAGACACAATTCGCGCACAACATGAGCGGCCAACTGTTCGTCGGATGTTGACATGATTCAGTGGTTATCTTTGGGAAGCATCTTCCGAGCGACGGACCGCGAGTTTCGCGCGCGAACTAAAAAATCGCTCCGCTCCGCGACTCCGCCGACGTGACGGTCGGTTCTGCGACTCCCAGACGGATTCTCTCGGAGTCCGCTGGATCTCGGTGAGAAGCAACGCGCGTCAAGGCATCCCCGATGCGTCCCTCACCCACGTTCGCGGTACGTACGGCCCTCTCGGTACGTGCGTTCACACGTGTGCACGTACATCGACTGATCGGCGTAGCGCGCACACACAGACCGCGAGTCGCACGATCCCGCGTTCACGAGTCACCAGGAGACGTGCGTCGCATGTGCCGTTCACCATGAGGACCTCGGCGTGCTCTTCGTCTTCGCGTCGCACCGACACACGTCGTACAGTCGTCGAGAGTGGGGAAACTGCAACGGGGATCCCTGCAGCTGCAACGACGCGGTTCGTGCTTACGTAACTGATACTTGCGGCGCGCGGGAGGCGAAGCTGTCGGTGCGAGTCGAGCGGGGAAGAGGTAAAAAGCTGCCTCGCACGTCTGTTAAGGGTTATTGAAAGAGGAATATCGAGCTTTTTTCCCAATTTCGAGGCATTCCCTCCTCGTTGCCGGCGAGCCGTGCGAACGGGATGATCGATCGGGTGCGAATGTCACCGGTCTCGTGTGAATTTATCTCGAGTAACAATGGACATGTCCATTTTGAAGGGGAAAGCGGACTCGATGCTGCCGATGTTCAACGTCTGATCGAGGTAACACGAACTGCGAACGCAGTTCTATAAATAATGCTCGTGCTATGTGCGGTCACTGTCGTATGATTCACTGAACATATCCGGGAAGATCATTACAGATCACATTCGATTAATTTTCTTCTGCTAAGCCGAGCGTGGACACATGATCGAGCTGGCCCGAGGCCAATTGGATAAATTAGCTTCTTGAGACATTGGTTCAGTTTCTAACACTTCAGAAAAATACGTATTATTTTTATTGATATATTCCTCCATATATTCCCTCGCTAGGGAAATAATGGCAAGTAGATAAGCGAAAAAGAGTTTGGAGAATTACTTCAGCGGTAGAGTTACGAAAGTAGCTGAAAATCCTTCATAGAAATTTATTGCAGTGAGTCAGCTTCGTCGTGTCAGTTTTATTATAAGCCTGGACGCGTATCAACGCTGCCATATATTGAGACCGTAATTATGGCAATAATTATTATTCGTGTGCGTCATATTCATAAAGTTTAAGACTACGTCGTGAAACGGTCGCGAGTGTATCCGCAGTTTGCTGCAGTAACGACGACGAAGGTCGCGTGCTCTATGTTCGCGTATCCAATAAGAACGTTCGCTGGAGTTGTATCGCGACAAATTGCAACAGCGACGACAGCAGAAGTGTTTCCTCATTTACTATTGAATAGCGCTACTACTTGAACATCTTCCAAGTTTATGAGTCCAATGAGGTTACACGGTGACACATACGTGCACGTTGAAACTGACGATATTTGCGGAAATAATTTGATTAGAAACAATCCAATCTTGCATTCAAATCGATATTATTTCCATACACTATAGCACGAACTTGTCTAGGTTATTAGGTTGTTACAAAAGTTTTGTCAGTTTCTTGTATGTGTTTCTTTGCAGTTGATTTTCTACTAGTCTTCGGTGGCCTTCGGTCTCAAATTTGTGGTTAAAAAACTGACAGAACCTTTGTAACAACCTGATATATTTAGTCTTTAACATAAAATATCTCTCTTAATGCACTTGAAACAATACGTAAAATACAGGGCGAGGCAATAATTCTACTATCATCTTAAAACTATCTGAAATGTGAGAGCAAGAGAACATTTTATCCAACAGAAATTACTTTGACACCAACGGTCATCGTTTCAGGCTGCTTTCGTAAATGTAAACTTTTTTCATCTTTATCTAGTCGTTAATAAAATACTTTTACTTTTCGAATATGTTCAAAATGATAATAATTATTGTCTCACCCTGCTGCGTTTAATGTTGCATTTGATCAAATTTATTTTCCCGACATTATCATTTTTGCCACGAAAGCGAATTATTCGAGGCATTTTAAAAATTGATAAACATCGGTAGATATTAATTCACCAGGAGTTTTCAAGGTATGCTTATCTGCAAAGCACGAAAATACAATCAACCCGTTTCGCCTCGCCGAGATTTATGGACCCGCGACGTCCGCGTTTATCGCCGCGACGCAATAGTTAAATATATATATATATATATATATCTGCTACGCTTACGCAATGAATCGGCGATTCGTCGCATGTTAAGGCGTCAACAAGGATATTGGCGGAGATAACAGCCGGAGAAATATCGCGCGTCGCATGGGAGACACAGGTGACCCCGTGTGATCGCAATCTTAAGCGGGCTGAGTTAATTAGGGCCGGAGCTCGCATTTCGCCGCAATTCGGGGTTTAATTAATCCGCTTATCGGCGCGGCTAATCTCGCGCACCGGCTTTATACATATGAGCGTCACGTGCGCGGCCGAACAAACGAGTCTATTACGGTAAACACAGCCGTCTGGCCGGCTATTGTACCTCGTTGGAGCATCATTCGTAATGGCAATGACAGAAAATCTGACTGAATATCTTATCCAGGTAACAATCGGACTTTATGTAACGTCGATTAACGATTAGCATGAATACCGCTCGGTTATCGGGCCTTATCAGTCCGATTCTCAATTTGATCTTCCACGAATGTGAAAAACGGCGAGATATCTCAGAATGAGTCTCGGCGATACCGATGATCGAGAGATACAAAAATAGAATTCGATCTCGATATAGAATGCATTCGGTTATCGGTGATTAATCGGGACGGTGTTTGAACCGAGCGCGAGTGACAGCGAACACGAGCGACACGTAAGTCACAAGTCCGATCTCACGTCGCGAGAAGGTACACGTAATCAATAAGGATAACGTGCACACACCGTGGGACTAATCGAATATAGCAGCTCACGCGTGAAAGATTAAGCAGTCGGCGCGAGACGTCTGTCTTCGGACACGGCGCGGCGCCGCCCTCTCGGGGTATCAAATACACCCGTGGAAAAATGAAGTACGAAACGCGGATTGCGGGGGCTCGGAGCGAGCAACCGAGAGATTTCCGTCAAGATTTCAACGATCTGTCGACGGAGAGCGTTGAAGAGTTGCCGGAGAGCGTTCGTCCGAGAACCCTGGAGAGCCGACGGAGATAGAGAGAGTGAGTGAGAGAGAGAGAGAGAGAGAGCATCGCGAGGAACGTGGGCACGACGCCCACGTGCGCTACGTACGTACAAAAGTTGGCGGGATATCCCCACGCGGAAAAGGAGCACCGGCCGCGCGTCCTACGCGGTTCCGCGCGCACGGTAATGCTAGGTCGTTCGCACCGGGCAATCCATACGCGCGCGCCCGCGTCTGTCTCAGCGTGCGACGGGGAAGACTCGTGCCGAGGTTACCGGACCTCGCTCTCTCGAGCACGGACGACAGCGTGTCGCGGTACCGGTTGTGCAAGGACGGCACGTACAATGGAGTCACATGGAGGAGGAAGATCTGAGTTATGAGACGTCGCATAATTGCACGCCGATCGGCCCCGCTGAGGAATGCAATTTGTCTCCCTACCGGGGTGTATTTGCGAAAGTAATTAAGATGCGCGCCGTGAGGCGAGATCGCGTCGGCTCGCTGCAATTGCTGATTACGCTCGCCGAGTCCACATCGCTTCGAACTGTGCTCTCGGCCCGCGCACACCGGCCGGGAGTTTTAATTAATTGAGAATTTCGCTCGCGCGTCGCGTCGCGACGTTGTCGGTCTCGATCGGCCCGCGTTTTGCGGGGGAGAACGGACGTCGATATATCATGGAAGAGGAAATTTGTGCGCGAAAAATACCACGGAACATGAAGTCTCCCCGCGGCATTGGAATTTATTTTACATTAAAAGGGGATTTAAAGATATATTGCCTGTTAGTGTGTTCAACAGTGTATCAAGCGGGTCCATTTATAAATTTTGTATTTATCAAACAAAATTACATTCCCACACATTTATTTCACTATCTAAAATAATAAACGTTTATTTGAAGTAAAGTTGAATTGGAATGAAGTAGACATATATACACAATATTATAAATACAAAAATGTTATTATTTCATATTTTTGTTATTAATGTTATATTTATGCATTAGTTAATCTAATAGAGATGCACAAATAATAAGAAAAGGTGTAAATTGTGACGTGGCGGCTCGGAGCGCCCGTCACAAGGGCGAAAGCCCCACCGCCGAGCGAGTGGCGTGCTCATACGAGCGCGCCGAATTAACCTCATCAGTTTTTTTTTGTTTTTGTAATTTTTTTGAGTTAGCGAAGACCGCGGGCGCGCGGTAGCGGTAGAGGCGAGCCCCGCGCCCCGACAGAGTGTACAACCCCGCTCCGAAGGGCGACGAGAAGAGGAAGGAGCGTCGACCGCCAGGCGGAGGACCACGCCGCCCTCTGCGACGCCCGACGAGGGGCCGCTGCCGACACCACCGGGGCTGCCCTCCCGACCCCTCGACGACGGTAGGGCCGGCGGGCCGAGGTCGCGCTCCAGATCCCGGAACCGCGGGACCGCACCGGGATAGACCGGCGGTGGAGCGGCGGGCTCGGAGGCGACTCGGGCACCGCCGGAAAGCAAGTGGGAAAAGAAGATATACCCGGTGAAGAGTGGGGACAGTTAGTTAGAGCTGTCGTTGCCGCGGAGAAAGAACTACCGTCGAAAAACATTTTGGAGCTATCGGACAACAGAATTGGAGCTACCGTTTCGCGCTTTCTGCTGTGGTGTCGGGCAGAATTAGTGAGAAGTTGTGGCAGAGTCTCGGAGGTGGAGGACCTTTGGCGGCGACGAGCGAGAGGGAGAGCGAGAGAGAGCGAGAGGATTACCGACGAGGACCAGCCGCCCGGGAGCCCGCAATTGTAAGGCCGCCTCACCGCATTCTATTATTGTTAATTTTTCGGTGATTGGGATTTTCGTGGCGTGCGAGGTCCCGGCCCCTTGGCTCGACGGCCGGTCGATTAACGGAAGCGAAAAGCGGACGTCCCGGGTCCGCCGCGGCGTGGTAACCAGCGAAATTCGTATAGTATCGTTGTGACGCGACTTGCTGCAAAGAAAAGACGGGCGAAATAAACGCGAGTGCTATCGAGGTCGCTGTTCTTTTTCTTTTCTGTTTTTTTTTCATTCGTCCCTATTCCTGTGTTGGTCGCCGACTGACACCGGCGACCATACGGACCCCCCCGGCCTCCGACTTAAAATCACCCCGGAGCTGCCGGTCCTGATCGGGACGAACTCGGGCCGAGTGGCCGACGCGCGGACGGCGACGCCGACCGCGGGGCCCGCAGTTAGTGGGTGCGATTTGCGCACCTGGCGCCCACACGGACTCGTGGAGGTCCGGAGTTAATTAGCGGCCCGAGGTTCGCCCGTCGGTGTTACATCGGCGACTCGGAGCAGCCGAGTCGCGAATAACGGTCGCAAAATGTTGAAATATGTGCATATGTATATGTATTTCGAATATTATTATAAATTATGAACTTTACATCGCTGTATTTTCAGAACAAAATGGTCAATAATTCTGAAATTTGTGTATAATGTCTGCATATAAGTCTATAGTAATAATAATATAGTAGTTTTCCATTGAAATCTTATTTTTAGTTTAGAGAATATTAGAAACAGAAATTGAAAATAGCATGCTAATCTCAAGGAACACCTATAAAAGATGTTTAGTTATAAATATTTTTTTTTTA